TATATAGAATAGAAAATGAACATGTTACGATCAACATTAACGTTAGGCTATAGCGTTCTATTTCTCCTAATGATAATGATGATTGACAAGTGTAAAAAACTAGCCCTACCGGCTGTTCAACACTAATCATATAGACATTTATCGTGAGAAAAGAGAGAACGAAAGAAATTAAGGTGTCAGACAAGTGCGTGCAGCGTTATCAATCTTGATATCAATCACCTAATATAAAAGTCTCTCATTTTATCAAAATTTCGAAATAATAAAATAACACCCTTCCGGTTTCACTCACCTGCAATATTGCTATGGCATGCAATGATGAATAGTTGATGGATTTGATGTAGAGAGTGAGACAAGGTAATTCTTTCTTTTTACAAAAGCAATTCAGTGAGCGTATAACGAAAGAAAGAAAGAAAGAAACAAAGGTCAATTGACATACTTGTTATTACTTCAATTCTGATGAATGATGAAAATGGTGTTTTGTTTGTATCTTGTCTCTTACATAAGCATATTGATGTAGAAACAATGAGTATATATTTTATGGCGTTCATAGGAGATTGTTACTTATGCTATCTATGTAATTGTACTATCTTTAATGCGTGTCTTAGTTTATTCCTAAAGATTACATCATGATTTCAAAAATTACATGCATCAAATCCGTTGTTATAACTTACAAGAAAAAAAACGACAGAAGGCAACATGAAACAATATTCATAATTATAGAGCAGAGAATTTTTTTTAAGGCATTCAACGTATGTATTTCTGAGATAAGATAGTTTCCTATTACTCGGAAGAAATTTTTCAAATACAATGAAACCTTTTCCTATTCGGAACAAGGTCTTCGTCTCACGAAGCGATTTTTGCTGGAAATGTGTTTTCTATAGGTGAACATCTTCCTACACTAAACTTAAAAATTATCTTTATAGTGTTGATTGCTATTTTAACTTCGTTTAAATAAATATACGTGCACCTTTTTTCCCTTCTCTTGTTTGTTATAACTGTAGACATCAGGAAAAGCAATGACATCACAATATGAATTAGCTGAAAATTTGAATATTTTACTTGATTTTATATTCAAGATTTTAAAACGAAAAGAAGAATATTTAAATAATTATCAAAGAGAATAAAATTAGTGTATTAAACGAAAATTCAAAAGCTTTGACTTAATAAAACTTTATGAATATATAGTTGAATGAATTGCAGAGCAACGTTCATCAAATTCATTTGTATATCGAGACCGAAATCATAATAAAAGATTTTATGAAAATGGATTAATGTTGACTTTAGAATAAAATCTCATGAGACAAATCTGTCCACGTGTCAAACCGCTTTTCGACTGAGACCATATTCATTTGATGAGTACTAATCAGTAATAGAAAAGTCTTGAATGGTTTGATTTTCTGAACTTTCATTCTCGAAATATCGAAGTTGTATTAGACTTTTCAACCAAAAGCTGTGTTCACGTACTTTTCAGATTCGACTTCAAACTTCACATAAACAAAGTTTTCGATAAGATTGGTTGATTGTACAAGTTTTAGCTTTTTCTACTGTTTCCTTTATGGATATGTAAATGTCGGAGTTGACCTTGAAATGTGACGTACTAAATGTCTATTGAATAGATAAAGTTGAGAAATAGGAATAAACATCCAACAAAGATATAATAATAGTGAACGGAGTGTAGATGCGAGATTCTTCTCCACGCCCACATCGACATTGACATCGAGCAGAATGCGTCCTTCATTATTATATGTTATGATGGTACGATAATTATTTAGAAATTGTTAGTTAAATTCACATCAAAAACTTTCTATTAGTTGACAGTCATTCATTACTAATTATTTCATAACAATTTTACGTTTATACATTTTAAAGTCAACTTCAACATAAATATATGGACAATATTTACTTATACACGTGAGAGAATTTCAAATATTGAATATCTCAAGATAGGAAATACTAGAAAAGCTAAAAATTGCATATTCAACTAATCTCATTAAGAACTTTGTTTATGCAAAATTTGAAGCTGAACAATTCGAAAGTTAATTTTTTCACTTAGTCACAGCTTTTAGTTGCAAAGCCTAGTAAAATTTTGATATCTCGAGAACGAAAGCTCAGAAAGTCAAACAATTTAGGAATTTTTTATTACTCATTAGTACTCATCAAATAAACATGATCTCGATTGAAAAGTAATTTAACAGTTGAAAAAGTTCTCTCGTCAGTAGTGAAATATCAGCATATGTTAGATTTTACGGTTTATGGATGAAAAATCATTTGTAATATAGAATTATTAGCAAATATTTATTGGGATTTATATTTTGGACGAAATACAAATATAAAATGAAATGAAAAATCTATAATTAACCAATTTTTGCTTTAGCTTGTTCAAAACGTCTCATTTCATTTGTAATCGCTGTAAAATCATGAATAAACATATGAACCTTAAATGAAAATAATATAAAATATTATGAACTATAAACATATAAATAATTTTACTCTGTCTAATTGTTGTCGAACTCTTTTTATTGGATCTTCAGTTTCACCACCTTCTTCTTCCTTGTCAGCTTTTTGTTGACGACGTACAAGCTGTTGTAAATTGCGTACAGCTCTAAAATTATGATAAGAAAAAATAAATAATAAAATTTTTGAACAAAAACAAATTATTATAATCGAATATACAAGATAACATTGCCAAGTTGTAATGTTTTCTCAGCTGCTGTTGTTTGAATAAAATTCCATTCATTTTCAGCACGTCTTGCTTCAATTTCAGCCCGTTCAAGTTCATGTTGTAAATCACCAATTCGATTATTTAATATTAATATTTCATTATTCTTTTTCTATATAATTAAATTCGAAATCGAATAATAAAAAGAAGAAAACACAAAGAACTCTAAGAAATAAAACTAACTTGTATAAATGCTTCTCGTTTTCGACGTAAAGTTTCTAATTGTTCTTCACGTTGATTTTGAATTTCCAATAAAGACTAAATTAAGATAAATCGAATTTTTTCAATAGAAAAAAAAAATATTCAATTGAAATTATTACTTCTTTATTTATTTTTAATGTTGTATAACGATCAATTAATTCACGAATTTCTTGAAATTCATCGGCCGTTTCAACAGTCTAAAAATTAAAATAACAATAATCACAATATAGAAAAAGCAAACATACTTTTTCAAGATATTTATTATGATTTGAATATTTAGCAATACGAGCTAATAATTCTTCTCTTTTTTGTTTTAAATCATCAATTTCAGATTGTAATTTTTCAATATCTTTATCTTTGACCGATGCAAGTTCACGTTCATCTTGTGCTCTTTTAAGAGCTCGCATTCGTTTGGAATCAAGTTCCTAAACAAAATTGTTTTATTTTTAATTTTTATTTTGCCTCTGAATAAAAGAGAGATACATACATTGATATATTTTTCAAAATCAGCTAAACCTTCACGTAGTTCATGTTCTTTTGTATTTAATTTTTCACGACGTAATTTTAAACTTTGCATTTTTAATTTAAATTCCTATTTAATTTATAAGAGAAAAATTTGCAAAATATTATTTATTTAAATTACTTCTTTTTGATTAGCTAATAATGCTTCGGCTTCAGTAACTTCACGTTGTTTTTCTAATAATCGTGAAGTTGATGATAAATGTTCATGATCACGTTCCGGTGGTGCTCTTAAATAAATTGAGAAATAGTTAAAAGTAAAATAATTTTTCTATGATTTTGCTTACATTGCTAATTCTTTACTTAAAGCTGTTCGAAAATAATCTTCCATGAATGACGTCATGTTTATATCTGAAGATAGAAGAGAAAAAAAATTTTGCTAATTCATTGTATCAAATAAATGTATAAAACGACAAGAGACGAAAAAATAACAATTGAGATTTTTAATAACACTGCCCGATTGATAAAAAACAATACAAAACATGTTAGTACACAAAAAATGTTTTTTGAATCATTTTCTATACGTTTTATATAGTTATCTGTTATCCATGTCTGTTCGAGGATATTGTTGAAAAGCACAACACAAACAATTGACATTACTGACATCCGTTGGTGCACAAATACAATTAGCTCCACAGCACTAAAATAAATTAATTTTTTATTTTTAAAATTAATGGCGAAAGGAAAAAACTCTAACTTACATCACAATTTTTTTCACCACAACATGCTTCACATGTAATAATATCAGCAAGTTCGATTGACTATATATATATATATGCATACATGCGAAAAATAAAAATCCTTCTCTAAATATTCTATTATAACATACTTCTCGTTTTGGACAACAGGCATCAAAACATGATTCAATAGATGTTGTTTGACAACAATCACATGTTTCAGCACATGATGCACAACATTCTTGACAACCCAAACATTGAATACCAGTGCCTTGATAATTACAACAATCTTTCAGTATACCACGAGACTTTTCATAATAAATATAAAGTAAACAATCAAATAGAAATAAAAATTTTATTTTACCTTAAGAATTTCTCGAATAAGAATTATGACAATGAGAATGAATATCAGACAACCAAGTGTAATTACGAAAATATATGGTGGTGCTAATGCGAGATTATTATTATAAAGACTACTGATACCGCCAGGTAAAAAAGTGCTAGGCTATAAAAAAAAATAAAAAAATAATAATACATATGTATATTTTTCTCCAATTGAAGTTAACTACTTGTACAGTAGATGACATTTTAAAAGAATTATTCAATCATAGAAATTATTATTTTTTTATTTCAGCTTATGATTCGTTATAATTATTTCTTTTTTACATGTATTCATTCATTTCTTAGTTTTTCTCTATGACACAGCCTCTATTCATACATATGTGTCGACAAAAATTTATAAATGCATTTTGATGAATGGTAAGCATGGTAACGACGTTTGTTGTTAGGAAAATTTATGATGCTAATGGTTGATAGAAGACTTTACTTATCATTGTCATCCGAAATATTTTATTCATTATAATACATTCTTTCATTTACATACAATGGCTGACGACGAAGTAGAAGTGGGCGAAGTAGAAAATCCAAATAACTTAGGCGTATGATCATTGCTATTTATATTCCTATATTTGTTACTGATTAGATATTGGTTTCTAATTTTTTTCTTAAAGTCTTATGAAGGTGATCGTAATGAAAAAAATGAACGTCATGGTTTTGGAAAAGCTATATTGCCCAATGGAGATACATATGAAGGTCAATATCAAAATGGAAAACGACATGGTACTGGAACATATCGATTTTCAAATACTGCACGCTATATTGGTAAGCACTATTTTTAACTTTGATTATATGACATTGTAATTTGTTAATAAAATAAAATAGGTGATTATGTAAAAAATAAACGACATGGAAAAGGCATATTTTATTATCCGGATGGTTCAAAATATGATGGTGACTGGAATGAGAATGTTCGCGAAGGTTACGGTACATATACATATCCCAATAATGATACTTATGAAGGTGAATGGAAGAATCATCAAAGACATGGCAAAGGAACATATACTTATGCAGCTACAAGTATGTGCTACATCAATTAAATTTGTTTATATTTTTGGAATTATGAAAAAATTTTTTACAGAAGCTCAGTATATTGGTACATGGAATAATGGTAAACGACAAGGTCCTGGTGAACTACTATTTAATCATTATAAATATGCTGGCAAATTTCGTGAGAACTATGTACGTAGTTTATTAGAAATCGAAAAATATTTAAAAAATTCTAACGTTCAAAGTAGGACTTGACTTGCTGATATTTTTCTACAAGGGAGAAAAATATATACCTAATAATGAGAACGCCATATTGAATAACTGTAAATGATAAACAACAATTTTTGTTTTATTCGTTTAGCCGAAAGGTAAAGGAAAATTTGTATTCAAAAATGGATATCAACAAAATGGAGAATATCATATCACATCAACAGTAAATAATTTTTTATGTTCGAAAATATTCAAATTTATAAATCGAAATAAATTTTAGGCCACTGAAGACGAATCCGAAGCACCGCCTGAAGTGCAATACAAATGGATTGCACATGATGTCGTTGCAACAGAACAAGAACAGCCATACGATTTAGATGATAATCAAGCAGAAACAGATAGAACACAAGGTAATTTCATCGTTTTTCCTTTTATGTATAGATCATATATACAGAATTAGTTTAACCTTAAAGAATGACATAATTTAGAATGTTTGATAATGCAATATTAATATCTTTGTGTACTCTTTATCTATTTTTTCATTAAAACTGATAATTAATGATGCATTATTTACATTTATAGAATACGATACTCTGCAAAACACAAATGTTGTATCTGGTAAAACGATTTTCTATTGGTATTTATACAGCTAATATTATATATATATATAGATGGTGATCATCTAGATAATGAATTGAATACAGAGACAGGCGATGCAGCAGAGGGAAATGAAGATAATGATGAAAATCAACTATTTAATGATGGTAAATGAAGTAGTCTTTTTTTTTAGTTTTTTTTCTCTATATTTATCATATTTATTTAGAAATACCAGGCGAAGATCAATTTGAAGAAGAAGGATGAACTAATATTTCTTTTTTTCTTTCCCACTTTTTATGTTTTTTTATTATCTAAATAAAGGAAAAACAAAATTTTTTTTTAGAAAATTTGAAATAGCTAATTAGGGAAATTAAAAAAAATAAACATGTTATAATTGCTAGGTAAAGAAGAAAAAATGAATTAACAATTGAAGACAATAGTGAAAAGAAAAGTTAAAAATGTTATCACTCATAAACAGTTATTACATGTGAACGAAACAAAAGGTAAAAAAGTAGATAAGGAACTAACTAATTTTAGCATAAAAAAAAAATGTTCACATTGCAAAAGAAATATTAAAAAAATGTATGTTATTGCTCTGTTTTTTTTTATGTTAATATGTTACGATGTTTTAGTAATATGAAAAAGTTTAGAAAAAAAGTGTATTGTTGTAACATTAAAGAGTGTCAGTGTGAGCGTGTAAAATTTTTCACGGGACATTATAGTTAATGAGAAAAAAAAAGGTGAAGTCTTCAGAACGAAAGATCATTGTTTAATGATGATGTTTCGACTTGCCACTTTTATGGCTGTGTTTGTGTGATTTCTTGCTCTTCTTGTGTGAGTGGTCATCTTCTTCTTCTTCTTCTTCTTCATCGTCATCATCATCTTCTTCTTCATCATCTTCTTCGTCATCCGTATCAGTATCGGTGTCAGTATCGGTGTCTGTGTCAGTGTCTGTATCAGTATCCGTATCGGTATCTGTGTCAGTGTCCGTATCGGTATCTGTGTCAGTGTCCGTGTCGGTATCTGTGTCAGTGTCCGTATCAGAACCGTCCTTTCGTCTTGGTCGGTTACCCTTCTTTGCATCAGCACGGTATTCTTCAATATTTTCAAATACTTCAGCGTATTCTTCCATTTCTTCTTCCGTATTGCCTATAATTATATGAAATAATGTAAAACTTGTACAATAAATCAAAACAGATTCTTACCGCCTGCACACTCTTCGCTGCATTCTTCGCGTCTTGCTGAACCACAATTCATCCTCCTCATACATTCGTTGTATGATAAAAAGATGGAAGCACGATCACGAGAGATGAAGACAGCTAAAAATGATAAATTGAAATGGTTATATATATGTATATATATGTTTGTATATATATAAAACATTTTGTGCCCAATATAGTTAGTTTAGAAAGAGAGAGAGAGAGTTAAAGATCGTATGAAGCTAGCATGAGTGTGTAATAGATACATGAAAAAAATCAACATAAAACATTGAAAGACACCACATTGTAAGGGGTAAATGGGTTATGATTGTTCAGCTGGCAACTCGAAAAGTCAAGAAGAAGAAAAAAAATTTTCTAATCTAATTAAAAAAAACTCCGAATAATAAGTAAAGAAATAGGAAAATAATAAAAGGGTATCATTCTCACACAGGATGTTCCCTCGATAATTTAATTCTTATGTGTTGAACTAGTTGTTGATTGTTTTCCTGATGTTGTTGAAGATGATTGTGGTTTTTTAGTTTTAGCTGATTGTTTATCATCATCATCTTCTTCTTCTTCTTCTTCGTCTTCGCTACTTGGATCACTTTCATCATCTGATGTTGTTGAATCAGTTGAACTCTCATCGCTATCATCATCTTTATCTGATGATGATTCTTGTTGTTTTTTATTTGTTTTTTTTGCTGCTGCTTTCTTTGAATCTGATCGATATTCTTCAATATGTTCAAAAATTTCAGTATATTCTTCCATTTCTTCTTCAGTATTGCCTGTATAAGTAAATAAATATATTGAGTTTTTTTAAAAGAAATTAAAATATAATACGATCGAATAATTCGATCAATTTTTTTCTACTTACCAACAGCACATTCTTCACTGCATTCTTCCTTGCGTGATGAACCACAATTCATACGTCGTACACATTCATTGTAGGAGAGAAAAATCGAAGCTTTCTCGCGTGGTACGAACACTACTGAAATATCAGCAGGCAAAACAAAAAAAAGACACTCTCTCAATCACATACATTTGAATAAAATTCAGAAGAAGAAAACTTTGCTTTAGACGATCTTTGAATTCTCTCTTTCTTTGTTTGTTTGAATATTGTTTTTTAGTTTTAGTTTTGAAAGTTAATCTGTATGTTAGTTACAATCACCATAGGATATTTTTCTTAGTTATTAGAGAGTAAAGCTACTTAAAAAGTCTTACCTTTTTTGTCATCATCATCATCATCATCATCGTCATCCGAATCTGTATCTGTATCGGTATCGGTTGTGCTAGATTCTTCTTCTTCTTTTTCTTCTTTCGATTTCTTGCCAGCATCGACTGTTCTTGTTGTCAAACCAATGGACAACAAAACAACCAAGCAAGTGACCAATAACCAGTTAAGATGCATTATGATGACTGATACTTAATATTTGATAATGACAAGCGACGTACTAAAAAAAAGTATTGTTTATATAGAAGTAAAAATAATTATATATATATATGTTAATCGAAGCATATACATTTATTTAAGAAAAAAATATGGTTTCGTATATACGTATGTATACGTTTGATTGCGGTTAGGTATTTGTTTCTTTTTTTTCTACACTGAAGAATGTTATGGTCGACTAAGCATAAGCGCATAAAAAAAAGTGTATAGGCAAAGAAAAAAATAGTCGTGAAAAAGGGGAGTGAAGAAGCATTCTAAATATAGGGGAGAGAGGATGATTAGTTACGAAATAGATAATAGCAAATATATTTAAAAAGCCTAACCTGAGCAAAAAGGGAATTCGAAATCGACGCACTTCGATTCTTCTCTCTTTTGTGCGACGGTAACAACGAAGGTGACGAAATGCCGCTTAGGAGGATGATCTACAAAATATAGCTTAGTAGAAGACGAAATAGACGAAGGAAAAGAAGAAAATGTCCATGTGTATAAGTGGTTTAGAAATGCCAATTGGATTGACACGGACAAAAGTCTTTGTATTGCAAATGTCGACATAAATTTTTTTCCCATCAAATCGACTGACAAAAATGAACAACTAAGTTCTTAACATTATCGTTATCATCTATACTAATATCAACCACAAAAAAAAGAAGAAAAAAACAACAACACAACAACCTGTCGTAACAGCTTGAGTTCGATTGTACAAGCAAGCGGAAAAACCAAAAAAGCGAGAAACGGAGAGAGAGAAAAAAACAAGAGAGAACTTAATAAGCAAACACTCAATAAACATATCTGAGGAGAGAATACTGACGAGGACGAGAACGAGAACGATAATAATAATGATGATGCCGCTGCGGTTTTCCTCAGAAGATAGAGAAAAACGCAAAAAACAAGCAAATGGCTAATACACATATGTATGAGTAATCGTAACATGCTAACCGAATCCTTCTTGGTTGATATTTTTTTGTGATAATCTATGCTCTTCTTAGACCTTATGCTTTCCTTTTTTTCTTCTTGACGTTATCGCTTGTAAAGAAAAAGAACGAGCGAAAAAAAAATTCCGTTTTGATTTTTTTTCGATTCGTTGTATTGATTTCTATTTTGTTAATCATTATTAACCACCTGTTTCTAAAGAATATTTTGTCACTACGAGTTGACTACCGTTTTAGTTTCTTATCATTACTAATGATGTATGCAGTCAAGTGTGACAATAAGTTACAAAAATGTATACGTGAAATATATTCACAAGCAATATATAACTATCTTTCCTATATGAAAATACAAGCAAAAGGGCTTTTGTGATGTCTCTCTCTCTCTCTCTCTCTCTCTCTCTCTCTCTCTCTCTCTCTCTCTCTCTCTCTCTCTCTCTCTCTCTTTCTCTCTCTCTTAACGACTATTTCAAGGTTTCTTTGATTATTATTGTACTCTTTCTCCTTTCTATGTTTGTCGCATCATTTCAACGACATCAGTCAGAGCGCTGAAACATATAACTTCTCTCAAAAATTTGCCGCCGTTGTTCTTCTTATTATTATCGTTGTTGTTGTTGCTGTTGTTGTACAATTCTGGTAGTCTGTTCGGCAGCTGCACATAAATATGCATGTCGATAAAAAAAAGGACGAGAAAAAAGTATGCATGTGCGAGACGACATCTTTATTCTTGTAAACACCAACATCGACACAACAATTCTATCGCATGTATAAAGGGAAAGAAAAGTTTTAGATACCAATCGCATTTTTATGCACAACAAAAATAGAACATCCCTCTATAGGACATTCTATTATCATTGTTTGATTGTGATGCTACTTTTATGAGATGTTGATAATCAAGGCAATTGTAAATATACTAATGTCAGATAGACACAGGATACAAATCATTTTCAATCAAGACTGCATTATGATAACTTTCAACATAGAATACATCAATTAGATTTTTAGCCACACTCATCTAATTTACCTTGCGATCAAATATATGTTTCACATAATTATTCATTGTTATTATAACTGACCTTTTCACATACATATATTTATTCAAAAAAAAATGAATTCTTTGTTATTAACTGTGTCGTCATTTATGTCACCATCTTTTTTTTTTATTCGAGTCCTTCAACTTAACAAGACTATCCAACGTATACAGGCACACACACACACACACACACATACGCACAAGCACAAGAAAAAGAAGGAAATAAAGAATTCAGAACAGAAAAAAAATGATCAATAGTAGAAAAAAAAAAGATAGACAGACACACACACACACCGACACATGTATCATGAAGATCAATTTAGAATAAGAACAACAGAGAATGTCTCATTGAATTCAGTTTTTTGTTTAGTTCTTATTATTAAGCATTAACAGTTGCTTGTTTAGCTTCATTAAATTGTTTAAGAAATCTTTTTGCATTATCATTTGATTTAAATCGAATACATAATGTTTCATGTTTAGCTTCACCATCAGCAAAATCCATAGCTGACCAAACATATGCATTTTCTGAACCTTGGTGTGGTTTTAATTCCATTTGTGATGTTATTTGATGATTAGCACATAATTTTAATACTTGTTCACGACGCATTAATATACGACAAAGATGTGTTGTTTTATGTTGTAAAATTTTTATTTCACCAATACCGCGTTCTTTCATTTGATTTGATTCAGCATCAAAACGATAAAGTTTTGCACGTTCACAAAAGAGAACATTTTCATCTTCTTCACCTGTTTTAACTTCAACAGCAGATAATTGAACAATTGGTTTAAATGAAACATTTGGTTCATATGAATCTTCTTCACCACCACCATCACCTTCATCATCTTCATGCGTATTAGCTTTTATAATCGTATTGGTACCAAATATAAGCGAACCTTGACCAGCAAAAACTAAAAGAAAAAAAAACAGTATAATTAAAATGAAATATTTAAAAAAATGATATTTTATACCTCGTTGTTCATTTCCATTACTTGGTGATTTATCATTCATTGTTGTTGGTGATTGTTTAGCGACGTCAGAAAAACTAAATTTTGGTGTACTACCAAAAATTGGTTTATTAGCTGTTGCTAATGCTGTTCCAAATGAAAATGTTGATGATGTGTTAGTTGCTGCTGTTGTTGTTGCTGTTGCAGCCGGTGTAGAAAATTGAAAACCATTTGTAGGTGTTGTTGCTGTTGTAGTACCAAAACCAGGAAAAGAAAAGCCACTATTAGTATCAGTGGATGTTTTTAATGATGAACTACCACCAAATATGGAACCACTAGAATTAGTTAGTGGTGTTGAAGTTCCAAAAATTGATGTGGTAGAAGTGCCATTCAAATTTCCAAATATTGATGGTTTATTGTTATATTGTGATGTTGCATTTGTAACTGTTGATGATGATTCAACAGATGATCTTTCTTCTTTTGTTGTTGATGTTTGTTTTTGTAATTGTGTTTGTTGTTTTTCAATATTTCCAAATGAAAATTTAATATTTTCATTTGCACTTGATGGTGTTTTTGCTGCTGATGTTGTTGATTGTGGTTGAGGAGCTAAAATGCATAAATAAATAAATATTCACTTATAATAACCATTTATTGATTTACTCGTTGTTTTTATATCACTTTTAACATCTGTTTGTTTTTTCATTGTTGTTTTATCTAAATAAATATAAAAGTTTCAATCGTTTAAAAAAAAAATTCATCTATTCTTTGATATTATCATAAACGGGATATGAAAATATTAAAAACATACCTTCATTAGGTACAATTGGTGGTGTATCTTCTTCACAACCTGGACAACCTTTACATGGTTCTTTATTTTCATATAAATAGAATGTTGATGGTAATTGAAGTTTTTTTGCTCGATCTATTTGTTCAGCTGATGGTTTAATTTCACCAATAGAGACAACATCTAAACATAGAAATAAAAATTTATAAAAACATAGAAAAAGATCTAACAAGAGAACTCTCTCGGATGTATTCTTCGAATTTCAATGATTTTTTTGTAAGTAAAAACTACAACATCTTGTAAAAAAAACTCTAAAAGATGTTGAGATTTAATTAAACTATTGAATTTTGATCTCAAACATTTCACATGTATACACTCAAGTTGTAAACGTCGGTCTAGTATAGATTTATTTTTTAAACAAATCGAATCACTTTACTGATGTTAATGACTGTTTCTATGAGAATATACATTAAATTATTTCTATTAAGTGAGCATTCATCAAAATACGCTTAATATATTTTTCTAAATTGAATCTGATATAAAATTCTATTATCAAAACAAAAAATGATTTTTGTTCACTATTGCAATTTATAATATATTTATTTTCGTTTCGTATTATTTACACTATATCCTCCGCACAAACATAAGAAATAGCAAAGCATATATATTTCGAGAAGCAGAATCCGAAGCCAGTCTAGAATTTGTCGTCCTACGAAATTTTCTATTAAACGATGGAGTAAACTTATGGAAATAGATAGTAAAGACAAAGCTCTCATCGCTATCCGTACTACTCGAAAGCTCACTAGAGCGTTATGGACACGTTGACATCTTTGTCACAGTCTGTCAACAGGTAATAAGAAGAAGAATGCCATGTTTATCGTTCTTTTCGGAGCAAGCTCACGGAGATGGACTCAGTTTTTTCCTCATATACTTTAACACTAATGTTTCACAAAACCATTGTAATAGACAAACAAGAGTCTTATATCATTTCTGTAGTAACTCATACCTAGATATCACTAATCGAGAAATTGGTTTGAATTTTATAAGATAAGAAAAGCGAAAACTGACTCATGTCGATTCTACATGAGCGTTACCAGTAAGGAAAAAAATCCTACCGATTACAACTCCGATATTTACTATTCATGGTAAAAGCTCTACATTTCTACGAGATTTTGTTCAAAACTTCTGCATTTTCTTTATGAAAATGAATCTAGTTGAAGTTTCAAATCAAAATTCAATATCTTAGCTAAATCTCAAAAAGAAACTGAATTCTTTTAGAGTTTTTCTTAGAACACTAGTATCTATAAGTACAAACAATTATTGAAATCGAAGAAGAACATAAAAAGATATTTCTTTGTAAGTAAAAATTAATCATACCATCATCATTTGTATTTGCTCTTGGTTTTGTTTCATCATTTAATGCGATTTTTCCAATAGATGGTAAATCACCGGATTTCTTCATGTTCATTTCCTTTGCTTCGTTGAACACTTTAAGAAATTTTTTTGCTTGCTCATCAGTTTTAAATCGAACACATAATGTTTCATGTTTAGCTTCACCATCAGCAAAATCCATAGCTGACCAAATATATGCATTTTCTGTACCTTGATGTGGTTTTAATTCCATTTGTGATGTTATCTGATGATTAGCACATATTTTAAATACTTGTTCACGACGCATTAATATACGACAAAGATGCGTTGTTTTATGTTGTAAAATTTTTATTTCACCAATACCACGTTCTTTCATTTGATTTGCTGGTGCATCAAAACGATAAAGTTTTGCACGCTCACAAAAGAGAACATTTTCATCTTCTTCACCTGTTTTAACTTCAACAGCAGATAATGTAACAACTCGATTAAATGAACACTCTGGTTCATATGAATCTTGTTCAGCATCACCTTCACCATCCTCATCAGCATGTGTTTCTGGTTTTATTGTAGAAATATTTGATAAATTTGAAGCAAAATTTCCAGTACCATATAGTGATGCCATATTATTTGTACCAAATGCAAATGGACCTGAAAAAAAGAAATTCAATATTCACAATAGTAAATTCAAGATATATATGTATATATGGGCAATTCCACGAAAAATGGGACAAATATGTGTTTTTGTGAAAGTCGAAGCTCTATTGCAAAAGTTTAGTATATTTCCAAATTGCGCTTTCCAGTTTATGAAAAGTGATGTTCGTTTCTTGTTTCCGTAGTTTTAAAAACAACTAAACCTGTTTTAATAAAGTTGTGAGCATATTACGTAACTTTACCTGTCTTTTTCTTAAAAAATCAAAAAACANATATCGTTAGTTTCTCAAAAAAAGATTTCCTTGGCCGAAAAAATCGAGTTCGAAATTTTGAAAATCTGACTGCAGATTCGGATTCCCCGACTCTGATTTACTTTCGTCAACCTTTATACAATATCATTACTTTCTCAAAAAAATATTTCCTTCACCGGAAAAATTCAACTGAAAATATTGAAGAATCTACTTCAGATTCGGATTCCTCGATCCTGAATTACCTTCGGTCAAACTTTATAATGTTCTTTAGTTCCACGACCTTTGACCTGCCACAAACATACAGACACACAGACAAACCCATTTTATTTCATATAACCCTCCCTTCAGTTGAGGGAATAAGCTCACGAAACGAGCTAACTTTAAGATGCAAAACAGTAATTCACAAAAGTTAGGTATAGATGTCAAAGATTTCGAATAGCTCGGATTGGATAGGAATGGCTGGGAATGGATAGGAATGGCTGGGAATCGCTGGGAATGGTTAGGAATGGATGGGAATGCCAGGGAATGCCCGAATGAGTTTTTTCCCCCTTGCATTCAGTAGTATGAAGTTGTATTTTGATATGCACATTTCGATTATTCGTGTTGTTAGAACTATCTTGAAACCCAGACTTACGTCCACTTTGACATTCCCGAAGTTGTACCACATTCAAGCCACTTGAATGATTGAGTGCATTACCATGCACACGGAAGCGTGTGCCGGGAGCAAGCACAATTTCACTTTCCTTTGGGTAACACGAATAATCCGTGATATTTTTTCCGTTGATGGTCTCAATAAGAAACAAAGTGCCTTGCGACCCAAGAAAATTCTTCACTACATTCACCGAAGACGAGCATGAATTGATAGACCACCACGTAAATTCATCATCTTTTTTGAAATTAATGTTAGTATTTGAGTATACACCTCGCCATACATTTGTTTCGATATTAGGCAATTTTCCAAGAGCCGTACTGAAAAGTTTTAGGTACGAAAACCACGGCTTGACAGCGTCCCGATCTTCCGAGCGCAAAGTGTTGTTAAGAACTCGATAGAGGCTACTTTGACCCCAACTCATAGTGTAAAGATAGATTGAAGCCGATTCCTCTCCATTGAGAAGCTTCGATGTTTGATTACAGTTTTGTTTTGCTAATCTAATGTAATGTTCAAGATTGTCGATGAGCGGCAAAACGGGGATTAGTGCCATGTTCAAAGAAAGCAGAGGGCCATCAAGATAGCCTAGAATCGGCGGTAGGTTAGGTTTAGTGATTTCGTTATCAATATAACGTGTCTCAAAGTCCATGATCTATCATATTTGAAGAAAAAAATAAGTTAAGTAATACAGAATAGTGCCTTTTTTATTTTTATTTTTCAGAAAATCTGCGGATGGTTGGAAACAACCAACTTCCAACATGAGACATAACCAGCCGATGAAGTAGGAAGAAAGCAAAGGAAGTAAGAGAATAGTTTTTCAATCTGAGTCAATTGCAGAAAGTATGATAAAATTTGTCATATACAAATGTATGTGCGTGAGTTTGGGGTGTGAGTTGGAATTTTAGGTGTGTAGGGTGTGGGTGTGGGTGTGGGTATGATTGTGAGTATTGATTGTGAGTATTGATTGTAACCTCAGGCATACTCACATCCACCCATAACAGACACTATATTGACTTCCAAAAAAGTCCTTTGACAAATGGTAACAATATCCTTTTTGTGAGAAATCGCATACCTCCCTCCGGAGCTGTAATAGATGGAAGAGTTTTTCATAGAAATCCGCTGAGCGGGTTATGTGATTTTTCACAACAAGATTTTATTCGCCTTTTCAAGAGACTTTAACAAAGTCAATAACGGATGTCGCGATGGTTGTGGGTGAAGAAAAAAAAAACAGACACCCTTCTCCACAAATCTACCCACATGCATATCCTCCCACACCCACACCCACCCCAAGTTTTTTTTAGATTCTAGCATGGATCAATAGAAAACATATTGGGCTATCTAGTAATGAAAATTTGTTTTTATGTCATCTCAAAAAAATAGACTAAATAAATCACTGAGATACATTGATTTTTTTTAGTAGTGACTAGATTTACACCACTTGATTATATATGCTTCAATAGTTCGCATAACGAGAAAAAAACAAAGGAATCGCAAGAGAAAAACCAAAAAATATAACGTTGATATTTCTACTTATTAAATTGAACTCGTACGCAATAAAAAAGAATAGAGTGCATTTTTAAAGGGGAAAATAGAATGGTAGTGCAATGAGACGAGAAGCCATGACATTTTTATGTTTTCAAGCTATCAGTGGGTTCGTCGGCACTCATAATATGCATGGCAACATTTTTTTCTCTTCTGAATAAGCGTTACAACGTGACTTTTCATAATATCTATTGTATTTTAAGAACACTGTTATCATAAACAACGAAGAGATTTAAGATTTATTCCATTTTTACCATTAAGCCGTGCGTCATAGTCAATAGATTTTGGATTGTAATATTATAAAGATAAAATCTTAAAAAGAACCATCTTTTAGCGACATTTATTGTTCATTAAATGCAACAACATTTAAATAACTCATACGAATCAACATAGAAAACAAAATATGACAACAAGAATTTTAATGTAAAAAGTGATATATCATGTTGACCTTTTAATATTTTTCAATACTTGTGATATTTGTTTAAGATCAATTCCATATTGGTCAAGTTGAATCATATAATCATTGTGTTGTTGAGTCCATTGAATAAATGATTTCTTGATATCAGATTCTACTGAACCTAATTGACCACCATATTCATTTGGTAATAACGTTGGATCAATATATTTATGTAATGATTTTTTCATTGAATCATCTGATGTTCTTGAATGAAAATATATTCGATCATCAAGATCTCGACAATAAAATAAACGAAATAAATGTAATATAGGATCAAAAATATTTGGATAATTATAAAAATGAATTTGACGTAAATGTACTGGATACATTTTTTCCCAACAATCAACATAACGACGAACACGATCAGGTGTAAATTGTCTTATATGTTGTAAACGAATATTTGTACAATCTAATAATATTACAAAACCATATAATTGAGCACTGGGTTGACTATTTATAATATCTGTTACAGCAAATGCATAACGAGTAACATCATCGATTGTATAAATTGTTGGATCATAATGCCCTAAACGCACAAGAAAAATCAGATTCTTATCTTTAGTTGCTTTTGGTAATTGAAGACAATAAGCTAATTCAGCAATTTGACACATTAGTGGATTTTTGAGTAAATCACGATTTTTAAACCTATAAGAGAAATTAAATTTTCAAATATTGATTTTAAATTGAATAAAAAAAACAAACCATCGAGGATTTTCTGTACGGTATCGCCAAAAATGAATTAATCTTTCTTTGGTATTTTCCAAACGAAAATCTGTAACGCGTAAAAATCTTAATAAGAACTCATCTGTATCAAGTGAATTCAATATAGGTTGTTGTTGATGAATCCATTTTCGAAGATAATTAATATGATCTCGTATTGTTAATAATTCTTCACTATCTTCATCAGCTTGCGCCATATTGTACGTGTGACTCGTCTTGTTTTCCTAAAAAAATGAGCGAAGAAATGAAAAGAAAGGAGAAGAATTAATTAGAAGCATACGTCTTTGTTCCTTTTCCTGTCTTATTTTCTTTTTTGACTGCGCTCAGTCTGACTATTTTTGATAAACAACCATAGACAACAAAACCTTGGAACGTATGGTTGTTTTTAATTGCTGTGCATGTCTTTAAAAATAAAAAAATGTTTCGACAATAGTAGATGTAATGAAGCATGAAAATATAATACGTAATAGTTTAGCAGAAAAGGATGAAAGTTACAAGACGACAAAAACACAAAGTTGTTGTCAGATAGAATAAATAAGATAGCAAATAAATTATTTTGACTATTAATATTCAAGAAACAAGTTTTCTTATTACAAATTTTTTAAAATCGATATTCAAATTATTTTATTGGTTTTTCTTTTGTAAAAAATAAAAATAATAGTTGTCTTGTTTTGTTGCTGAAAAATTTCACGATCAACGCTTAGCAAATGGATTACATTAGAACTAATCCAGCTAAACATGAAATAGTCAGACACTCGTTATTATTAATGAAAAATCTTCTCTAATAATCACCCTTTAGAGATTAGACATAAATTCGAACAAAAGTTTTATAGAAGAAGAACATATTACTACATATATGAATGGAACAGATCATATTCATCATATGAGTTCAAAACTTATAAAAAAAACATATTGATTAACAAGTATACATATACTTAATGGTAGTAACTTCAAATAAAATATGATAAATTTTACTATGAATATAGTAAGAAAAAAGTCAAAAAGAAACTATTTATTCAATTATATGAAATAAGTTGGAGTTTATCAGAAAAATAACTTTCTGTCAAACGTCATCTTATATGAAGCAAATCAACAGTGTTTAGTGGTGAAATATGTCAACCAAATTCTCTCAAGAGTTTCTGAAAGATAAAAGCAATTATCTCGAATTAAACATTCAACATTTTCTTTCAAAACTAGTTACATAAAATAATATATGATATAGCCAGATAATAGGATGAAAACTTTGCATGCAAATATAACTATTTGTGATAGATCTTTACTTCTTTTTAACTTAACATCAAGAAAGTATTTATATCTCAAATAAGTGCATAGAAAATTTCTTGTTTGATGCAAAAAGAGGAGTTACAGTCAAGTGAAGTAGTATTGTGAATGAAATCAGACCGGATATACTATTACTAGGTCATTATGCTTTTTTATGTAAATAAAAGTTCTCTTTGTATCTGTTGATAAGAAATTTTTTATTGTTTTGAATTTTATATAATTTATTTTTGTTATGTATTCGTAAATAGGATGATATGAGAACAGAGAGAGAAAAATTGGCAAAAAAAAAAACATAGTTTTTATATGGATCTACATCGATAAACATTGTCGTTTATTAGAACACGTTGAAATATTCTAAAAGTAAATGATAAAGGTAAATAAATTGTTATTATTGGTATTCATAAAATAATTAATTGGTTGTTTTTTAGAGACACCTCATTCGACAAGTCCATATAAATATTATCCAAAATATTTCAATAATCAACTACTATGAAAATAAATTCTTGAATGTTGTTTTATAAAACTTGACAAATAAGAAAAAAAATATCTTTCAATCCTGTCTTATGTAAACAAAAGAGACTATAGGCCATATTTCAATGATGCTATTTTAAAATCTTATTATAGTATTAAATGACTTATTGAAATACGAGTCGTTTCGCCAGCAAATAGAACCACGGTTTAACGCATTTATTATTTAATAAGAAGACATATTTTCAATTTTGATGTTAAACTTGAGAATGTATTGACATAGAATTGTTTCATATAAGATGTTACTTATTTATATTGAATATTCATGTATCTTCTATCACTGATTATGTGTTTTGATATAAAAATTCGGAGCATCTAATTGACTTATATTTTTTCGCATTTACGCTGAACTCTACGATAGAATTTTATCTTTTATAATAATAAATTTCTTAAGTCATCCTGACAACATTGGACATTTTATATATAGTAAACAAAATATTAGTATAGAATGAAATCTATTTACCGTTTTCGGTGTAATGTTCTACTACTATAATGTCGATTATTTTTTTTTTGTAAAATTATTATTCCGCTACTGCTGTAACTATTATTCCTTTCGGAAAAAGAGAGCCGTGGGTACTTTATAAATAATTTTTGATAGAAACGAGATAGAGAACTCCGATTTTCACCCTTACAAAGAGAAGCCACAAGCACATAAATATGAGCCGGAAGCTGATTGTCTAGCACTAGACCAAACAGACTAATCATCTTGATGAGTGAATTTTAAATACGATATGTAAGACCCGTATTTCAGTTGATCTTGATTGTTAATATGATCGCTACACAAAAAAATTTGTTTTGTTCAAGATTTCTAAGAGGCTTCTTGGTACCTCCAATTTAAGTCAATTGGCCAGAGATCACCAGGAAAAGCATCTAATCAGGGATAATTCACCATGCTGAATCGAAGGATGATATTAGTTTTTGGATTCGGAATGATTAGATACTATTTCTGCGTTTCCAAACTTTCATAATCTACCATTATGTAGCATAATAAATCTACATGTCACAAATATTGAGATAACAATGCCAGATTATTTCGAATCCAAAACCAAATATCGCCATTCGGTTCAACACGGTGAATTACTTCTGGCTAGATACGTTTCGCAGTAACGTCAGATCGATTAACTGATATCGAACGTCTCACGAACACTCTTATAACTTGAGAACGGAACAAACTAGGAATGCCGATCTTGCATAGATCGAAAGTGAACAATTTTTTGTATCTAGTGATCATATAAGAAATTAAGGTCTACTGAAAAATATATGCATGCATTAGAATCTTCTCTTTGAAATATGAAAAATTGCAGTTTTCTATTTTATTCATACCAAAACTTATTCAACAAATTTCCACGGCTTTCGTTTGTAGAACGAAATAATAGTATTCGAAAAATGCTCTAGTCATTGACAAAAAAGAAATATTGAGACACTTTTCTCTTAAAATCAACGTTTGAAACATTTCGACAAGTTCTTTGTGACGAAATTTTCAGTTTTGTAATGAAGAAAATAAATTTAACAATGAAAAAGTATTCTTTGTAGAACAATTTGTCAATCATAATCGTCTCTTCCATTCATCAGCAAAACGTTTTGCTACTTTGCGTATTTCGTTCAATTTATCTTTAGGAAACTTGTCTAACATTGATGGTGGCACACCCCATCGAGCACCAGCTAATATACCAACTAGAATCGGACAAAATTCTGCTTCAAGTTCACGTGCATACGTCAATGCACTTTGATATGAATCAGCCTTTGTAACACAATATAATGCAGTATGTAACGTATTTGGTGCATATGCGACATGTACACAAGAATTAAGAATAGTATCATTTTCATATCGATGTTGAATTTCTTGAATTTCATGCAACAGATCAGGAGCAGTTGAAAAAGCAGTTTTTATAGCATCATTCCATCCATCACCTCTGATTAAACGTCGACAGATCAAGTTAGTTAAACCAGATACTTGCCCAGATATAGAACTAAAATGTGTAAGACGTGCTTCATCACATGCTATTTGAAAAAGATTATTATCATAGATCCATGGACAACAAGCAAGCGGAAAAGAACGTACAGCTGGATTACATCCACCTGAAAGTCCATTTAATTGGTCATGGGCAGAACGTGACGCAGCTAGGATTTTTTCTATCGGAAATTTAAATTGTTCTCTTGTGAATTTATCTGGCGTTTTTGTTATAGTTGCTTTAAGTTCTTTATAAACTAATTTAGTTGTCTTACCAATATTAGATTGCGAAAGATGATATAAATATAGATAATGAGACATGACATCAGTTCCATCGAACGCTTTATATTTTCGTAAACTGTTACTAAGTGAAAGAGCCATATCAGCCGATGCTGAAAAATTATCAGCAAGAGCTTGAGCAAGTATCATATGTTCGCATATATCAAATGATTGAGCCATCAATCTAGAAGAAAGGAAAAATTTTATATAGTAGCAATAGGAAATTTCTATTTAGTATAAAATTTTTAATTAAATTATCAAAAACATTTTTATGATAAAAGTACAATACAGTTGTGATGCTTTTTCAAACATTTACACTCTCATATTTTGAAGTCCATTGTTTGCTTAATTTATTTGCTGTATCACGAATTGATTTCAATAGTACATCATTTGCCTTGTCTTTATACATATATAATGGAATACCCCATAATGCTCCTGATAATACACCGATAATAGGTAAACAATAAACATTTCTATCAACCTTAGCTTTTTCAATGACTTCAGTTATATTGTGCGAAGTAGTCACATAATGAAGTGCCTGTTGAAGTACTGTTGGAGCATAAGCTGAATGTATGTTTTTACTTGGAGTAGACCAACGACTATATCGATAATATACATCACCTAATTCAGTATGAAGAGAAGGTGTTGAAAATGCTGATTGAACAGCATCATGCCATGTAGCATTCTTTAATAATGATCGACAAATAAGATTAACAATACCAGCAACTTGTCCTGCTAATGGATTAAAATGCGTTAATGTTGCTTCTTTTTTTGATATATTAAATAGATCATCATCATCGATCCAAGGACATAATGCAAGAGGAAATGAACGATGAACTGGACCACATCCAGCTGTATAACCACCAAGTTTTTTATCAGTTAATTTAACAGTTTCATCAATAATCGATTGATCAAAAAGAAAATCTTCACGAGAAATAGATGAATGTTCATCATAATGTTTAATTTTATCTTTTAAATTTTGATAGACAAATTTCATGGTTTCACCAAAATCATATTTTTTTGTATGATTTAAATAGAGATATCGAGATATTATATTAGGTCCATCGAAACGTTTTAATTCAAGAAGACTTTCGCTGAGTTCTAATGCCATATGACAAGAAACATCAAATTTTGATGCAATTATATGTCCCAAAAAGATTCCATCGCAACGTGTTTGAATGTTAGTCATTTAATTGAGAACAATTTGTTGGATATAAAAAACTAAAATTTAAGAAAAAAAATAAGAAGAAATTCTATTTTCACCAGTGTTTTGATCTGTTGGTAAATCTAAGATATATGAATTGCAGATAATCAACAAACGAATAAAAGTTCGACACACACAGAACAAAAAAAAAAGAAATTCGTCACAAAATATCCTGTTGTTGATAAGTTGTAGTACGTATCAAAAAGTCAATATTAAAAAAAGAAACACAACAGTCATCACATGGTTTACATAACTGTTTTGTTATCATGATAAATTCGTTTTTTTGTTTTTAATATACGAAATGAATGAGATATAGAGTTTTAAAAGTGTGAAAGAAATGTTATTTATTTTAAATATTTCTTTTAATGAATATAATGGTGCAGACAGTCTCGCCATCAGATAAACGTATCTAAACTTTAATCCTTTCGTATCATAGTTTGACTAAAAAATAGAGAACGTTGAACTCTGATCATAAGGACTATTCAGGGCTTGATTGACCTTCGTTCAGCGAACCTAGTAGGTGAACATAACAAATAAATCTCATAGCGTTACACCTCTCATTTGATAGTTCAGTTCTGTTTCTGTTACCAATAAAAAATTCATGTCGAACGGTTCTAATTTGTCTGATTTATGAAATATTCTTTGGATATTCTTCACATGAGAGTTAATGAAAATCGTCGAAAAACGACCCCATGTCTTCATCTAATTTTAATCATTTGCTTTGAAATTTTCTCTAGTGCATACTCTGCCTTTATTTATTAATGAGAAAATGGGAGTTAACGCATTTGAATAGTGAAAAACCAGAAAGATGTCGAAAAAGCCTTTGATTTTTTGGACCTCGAGAGAAAAATCAGTATATTCATCATAAGTTTCTTGCATTAAAACCTATCGACCTCGGGTTACTGTTTGGGATTATGGTTTATTGAGCTCTATTTGTTATCAAAATATCAGACAAAAGATTTGCAGTTAATGTACTTTTTAACTCGATAGCGAGACTTCTGGCGCTTATCATACATAAACAATATAACAGTTAACTAGAATTATATGAATAAATAATTTCCCTAAAAAAAAAGTTGCATTTATTGAATACTTTCGATTTCTTTTTTTTTTGTAGGCTACATATTGGTATAATGTTTAAACTCCGATGGACGTCACTGGTAATCAATATGAGTTGAATCAAGATTTCAATGATTGGCTATTTAAAATGAATCAATAAAAAACGAATAAAACCGAAACTGAAAAATAAAACGTGATTTTGTTTTATTTTAATTTTATTTTTGTTTGCAACCATGTCAAACAATAATGGTCTTAATCCTTTACCTCTTTTTAATAACAATAAATCACTTTATGGAGCAAGAACTCAAACAAATCAATCATCAAAAAAAATCTCACTTATTGAAGATAAAACAACACTTGAACCAGCACGTCCAACACCATCATCACCAATAATATCATCAACAAATTCAAATACAAATAATCAACGGCCAACATCAATTAGTATTCCAACATCATCTGAATTATCACCTTCACAAATACATAAACATATTCAATTACAATGGCAAGCATTGAATTCATTTGATCTTAAACAAATGCATGCACATGTTTATCAAGAATTAGATGAATGGAAAAAGTCCATGTATAATCGTATACTATCAATGAAAAACCATATGCTAGAAGAAAATACTCATTCATATCAACAATTACTAGGATTACAAAATTTAATGAAAAAGTTACTTGAAGATGAATTAATAAAGTCATTATTAATGATGAAAAGTAATCCACAATTAATTAATTCTGAAGAACTAGATAAAATTGAAAAAAATTTAAAACAAATGAAAGTAATATTTATTAGAGGGTACCTCCCCCCCCCCCCCCCCCCCCCTGCCGCTCTCGACGGTTTGTTATTCTCGATCACGATGCCACGTAGTGTGCGCGACGGTTCGTTCGGGCAGATGTA